AGCATTGTCACTCACCAACATTCAAAATGCCTGGCCCATCTTCATGCGCTGTTTTAAGTTATGATCAGTTGTATTTTAGCAAAAAGATTAATAAGTGACAAAAGTCATTCAAGTTCGGATCAAAATTTCAGACGTTGCATTCTACAGAGATTATGTACATATTATTTATCGTCTTATCGGTCATTGTATTCGGTGGCTAGTAAATGATAATGTAATCGATATAGTAGCTGATAGTAGAAATCCCTACAAATAAGAATATTCATTGACATTTCAAGCCATCTTGGTCACTGAGTGCCATTTTCAACTTGTAACATTGAACCTTGTCACAATATCACGTGTAGCCTGTTCAGTTACAATAACGCAATTAGGAAATGCATATACTGTTAAGATAGGATATAGCGACGACAGAAAACTGCATGATTCTGGATGAATTATTAAAAACGAAAAATGATTTGATGGAATACTTTTCGACTATGAAAACGCTCCATCGCATTCCACATCTGAATGATGCGTGCAGCGAAGAAGCATATAAAAATAGTGTGATGGTAATATGGGTTTGATGATAAGATGTGAATGTAATGCATTAAACGGGCACTCTTTCTGATCACATTTGCAATCAATGCTTATCATTTCACGGCGCCATTATGGCATATCAAGCGTCATACGTGCTTATTATGCTCGTTAATTCATAAACATTTTATCAGCTTTATCGCACATTCATACAGAAACATCTGTTTTAGATAAGTTCAATCGCATTCATTACTTCAACACAGCATCATATCAATCTCCTACGTAAAAGTAACTCTTCATGACCATCTTCTGCAAAAATTAGAACGAAGTAACTTTGCAGCTGTTCTACTGAAACCTATAATTGTTCAATGTGAATATTGATCACGAGAAATATTCAAGTAGCACAACAATGCACTATGGATAACAAACTCTTCACGCAATACCTGAACGATTTTCATCAAGTTCTTATATAAACATCTTAAATTGAGAGTTTAGTGTAAAGGCGATTACGCTTGTTATATGTATGACTGAAACTTGTATAGAGGGATATCGGGATATTTTGATGGTTCAATATTAAATGTTGAAAGAGTTACTCTCCTCGCGATTCAATTTTGCGGCATCAGATGAACACAAACATTTAATTTTATGAG